AATAAATCGAATTAGAAAAAAAAACAAATTATTTTACCTCCATTGTATGAGTTTTTCCACTTGATGTTTGTCCATAAGCAAATATAGTACCATTATAACCAGTAAGTACATCTTTTACAATTTCTTTAGCAGCTTCATTATAAACTTTTTCTTGTGTTGAATCAGGACGAAATACTTTATCAAATATATAAACTTTTCCCTAGAAAAAGAACAACAACAACAACAACAAAAAAAATTCAATAATAAAATAAAATTATAGAAAAACATACACTAATAAGAACGGTTTCTTCTTGATCAGCAGGAAATTTAACAACACTTTTACTACCAGCACGTTCTTCAGCATCGTTCAATGGACGAAAACGAGCAACAACTCGAATATTACATTCATCAGCTGCCATTGAGCTTAATTCTTTTCAATATTAAACAAAATGAATAGGGAGTATCTAAGCGAATAAGCAAAAAAAAAAAAGAATAAATACAACAGCTGGCGACTAAAATAGAAATAGAACAATCAATTGTAACAGTCGTTTATATTATTGAATGAATATTTTTCTCTTTTTTTTTTGATTGAATGACTCATTCTATTCGCCATTATTCAAGTCGATTAGTTTTTTCTCTAGAGCGGCTCTTGCAAATAAATATCAATGCCCTCTATCGGATGACTCTTTTTTTTCATATATATAATTCCACAAGTAAATGATGTTCGGAAAATAAAAAATATTATGATATTTGAAAAAAAAGAAATAAAATTTGCTATGCATTATGAAATCAATTTATAATTGATTTTTCTATCTGAAAGAATATTTATTTGCTAGAAAAGATAAAGGAAAATACATAATGAATATAAAATGAAGTAGATTTTATTCAAAATCTTCTGAATTTTAGATGATAACTTGTTTAAATAGATCTAAAGTTTGTTTTCATAAGTATTGTTATTCATTGATTAGTTTACATAAATTCAATATCATAAATGTAGGATTTCCAATCTGAAACAGAAATTGTTAGTACTATTTTGGAACACATTTATTCATCATCCATTTAATCCTCGAGAAATGCATTAAGAAAATAACTCATTCATTGTAAGAAGACATTATTGATATATACAGCCTGTAATTGTATATCAATGTCTGTCACAGGTTGTGACATGGACGAAGGGATTGTTACGAAGGCGTCTGTAGACGGTACAAATTTGTATCCCCTATACTTCAACATTCCTTTTCGATCGTATTTTACAAAACTCTAGATAGCAATGTGTTATCACAGCTAAGAACTAATAAATAAAGATAAACATATGATTATTCACATATGTAGTAAAAATTCTCTTAAATGAATATCGTCAAGATTTTTAAAAATTGTTCACTATTGAATGATGTTCATCAATGGAAAATATTTCAGAATATAAATTTCTTTACTAGCTTTGAAATAATCAGAGATCATTCTCCGTGTTGTTTATCTTCTTTCATTTGAATATATTTATAAATTCAAAAATATTTTCAATAGATTTTAAATCTTAACTTAGTTTTACAAAGTCTTGTATTATTGTTTTGATCTCGGTATATGTAAATTTAATAAACTTTCATATATTAATGCATCAAGTGTTTTATTGTGTTGCTTTTTCAGCTAATTCATATTGTGATGAATCATAACCATTTTTCAATGATAACAAACAATGAACAGCAGTTTTACTGTATTAACCAAAAATATTTTTTAGAGGAGAGAGAGAAAAAAAATGTATACATATGAATCTGACGAAGTTTAAAAAAAATTTTTTTTCTAAATTAATTTTTACTATCATATATATATATATATATGAGAAATAAAAAGAAAAGAAAAAATAAAATGAAACTAATTATTATTGTTCTTGCTCGTGCATGTTAATACATTTGTTATAAGACCATGAATTTGATTTGATTGAAATTCATAATTTAATACATCCATCAAAAAGAATTAATGAAGAAAGTACGTATAAAACTAAAACAAATGCGAAAAAAACCGTAAGTAGCTTGAGCACTTTGCTTTTCCTTGGGGTATTTAATACTCGAAGTATTGCGTAAGTGCAATAGTTGAAGATACTTCTTGGATACTACTAATCGGAGTAGGTATCCATTAAAAATTCAAAAAGGTTATCGAATCTGTCTGTGTGAGACAGATACAAGCTACGAATTTCGAGATAGGTCAATATCTAAAACAGGGTGTCTGTTTGTCATGTTCGTTTTTAAAGTTTTCAGTGGAAAAACTTCGTTTTCTAAGCAAAAAATGTAGAAATGAAAATGTATAGTGGCGTATTTTTGCTTGTGGAGGACGAGAAATGTTCTACTTTTATCATTGTGACCGGATACAATGTTTATTGTCTATTTATTTCTATTGTTTTGTTTATCCGCTTCATTAAATAACAGTTCGCACTTCCTCCTAATCAATTACTATTATAATTTTACACGCACTGTTGATTAATTCTTATTGTTCCTTAATTCATAATTATTTATTCGTAATCTGGCATAACTTAATATGCTCTCTTTAACTAGTCTATCAAATGCATGTAAAACATTCTTACTCAAAATATCTTTTCTCAATATATGTGTAAATAGAGTGGTGCAAAAGTCACCCGACAGTCATTGATTACGAATAACTTTTCATAGAAACAAGGTAGAGACAGCTACAGCTTTCGCTATTCGAAGAAAACTGTGTGATTGCATGATTTCATGTATGACTTGACAATATTGGTTGAGAATCAAATTACCAATCTATGGACTTCAGAAAAATATTGGTAGCTCTATGAAAATGGCACAGAACTAGAAGCTGAGAATATGGACGTTGATCGTCGACACACAGATCTAGAATATTTTTTAGAATTAAGCTTCTCTGTGATCTTAATAGATCTATCAGTGCCTTTGTGAAAGTCATCGACTGATGATAGGTTGGTTATCAACCAATATTTTTGAGTCATGCAGTCTCCTTGGAACAGTGAAAGCCGCAGATCTCTATCTTGTTCTTATCAAAAGTTATTTGCAAACAAAGTTTTGAGTCATCCAGTATTCAGGACAATGAAAATAAATGACAGATACAGCCAGACTAAAGAGATTCATAGTTTGTTTTTGGCAGATCAAGCCTAAGAAAAGTTGACAGCATGCTTCAATCAGACAAAGTAAAATAAAATAAGCGGTATATTATTGGCAATATAGTATTAATGTGTAGATGGAGAAACAAGAGTTACCAACAAAAGCGTACTTTTGTATGTAAATCTATGGTGATCGGACTATTCGGCGCAACGACTTAATCTACTAATAATTTTCTTTCATGGATGAAGAGGTGTATTAAGTTAAGTTTGAAATATTGCTGATAATAAAACTTTGATATTTGATCTTGCATATTTCAAAGATCTTCTTGTTGATATAAATCATTAGATTATCGTATCAGCAGTAAAATTTTCCATACAGAAGTCGAACCGACAATGCATCCCTTCTTTTAATTCGTGTTGCTGCTCAAGTCTTCTGATATGTAGGAAAATACTTTAAGAAGATCAATGAAATCTAGTGTTCACTGATGAACAGTAGCTTTGATATCATTCGAAAAAAAAACAACTTTTAATGAATTTCTTTCTTTAAATCTTAATATTCGATATACAAATTATGTCAATTTCAAGACTATCACCTCTTGCTACTTGGATTTAATTGATGATTCTTACAATACTTAGTTTTAGAAAACTGGAGTACAGATTTTTGACATAGCTCTTCTGAAATATTGTAATATTTCCTGATGCTATATATTTGGATAACAGAAAACGATTTTGTAAAGTATGCTATCCCTAGCGGACATACTGAATTCACGGCATCCTGTTTTCAGTATGTACTAGGAACCTTTGCGCACTTCAGCAAGGAGTAAACTGATATTGTTATTTTATTTATCGACAGCATATTTTATAAAGTCATTTTTTTTCTTTATACAAATATATAATATCACGCGATATTGCAATGTTGTGTTCATGCAACGAAAAGTTCAGTTATCCAATTTTTAAGAAATATCTTAATTACCATTGAGAATTCAGGTGAAAATTGGAATATAGTTTTGTAAAACATGATCTAAAAGGAGTGGCGGATTATATAGGGTAGAAATTTGTGCATTCTCCTCCCCACCGCTCGCGTCACAGATCGTATATGAAAAATGTCTTGTTCTAATATATGAACTGTTTCTTTATTGAATTTCTGGAAGATGATTTAATAAAGGAATAGTTAACAAATGTGTCTCATAATCTCGTAGAAAAATGTCCTTGAAAGATTGTATCGTTGCTCTTTTTTTTTCAGAAAAGTTTTTACTTTTTTATATTAAAATCTTTGCAATTGTAAAGTAAATATCATGAACTGTCTAGAATAACTATTTATAAGTGAGCAATTTTTTTTGTGTGAATTATGAAAACAGAATATTGTGTCAAGAATAATATATTTAGCATAAATGGTTTTAAATAGAAACATTCATACAACTTCATCGTAAACATTTGATATGTAAACAATGATATACTTTTTTTTTCTTATAAGTGGAACTTCGATTTCATCCTTCGTTACCTACATATTTAATGGTTTTTGTTTAGAAAAATATTGCGAGAGAATTATCAACATATTAATAGATGTGAAAAAAGTACAATATTCTTCATAACTGTTATTTCTCATGCAAAAATTTCAGCGAAATACTAAGTTTTCTTTTTCCGAAGGGTGATTTAAAACTTCAGCACAGCCAACCCGACCCTCAGTTCTCATTCTGAATAAAACATTGGAAATAACCTTCATTAAAATAACTTGATTTTTAATTTTCTAGCAAAGTAAACGCTTATCAACGATTAAAACATGTCATCGACAGTCATATATGAAACATTATCGACACGTTCAATTAAATTTTAGATTTTATTGATTCTTCAAATACCATCTATTTTCTGTTCTATTTTCATTTTATATCATATGTTTGTATCACAAAAATAACGTCAATTGTTAGCTAATCATGTTATTATTATAATGCTTATTGTTAGTCTTCTAAGTACTATAATTGATCTTTCAATTACGTTAAACTATTTACAAAATGGAATTGTTCATCTATCATCATCATATTTTTGTTATTTTTGGATGTATATTGATTATGTATTATATGCAAATGGAATGCTTCTTATGACATGGGCATCTATTGAACGTCATATACTTGTTTTTTCTTCACAATATTTTCGTTTATTACATCAAAAATTCTATGGTCATTATACACCTATTATAATTTGTTTAATTTATCCATGTAATCAAATATTTGATTATCAACAAGTTCTTTGTGGTTCGCCATGTTTTAAACGTACAACATTTCTTCTAAATGCTTATGATATGTTTATACATAGTGTAATACCATGTATAATAATTGTTATATTTAGTTTAGCATTATTAATTCGAGTTATTCGACATAAACATCGTATGCAAGGACAAATTTTTTCTCAACGAAAACAATATCGTATGGTTATACAATTAGTTTCAATTGCTTGTCTATATATATTATTATGAATGCTCCATTATTTATTGTTATTGGTATTCAAGTTTTTTATTCCAAAATATTTGCTGCAACAGAACGTGATTTATATTTATTTTATTTGTATTATTTTTTGACATTATTTTTACCATTTGTATGTCTTGGATTAGTTCATCATTTACGTAGAAAATTTGATTTTCTTTTACGAATAATGAAATGTCATGGTTTGATTAGATCATCACGTGTTGATATTATTCATAATCAAGATAATGGAACAATTGTATTTGGCATGACTACTATGCCAAGAATAAATATTTGATATATATATGAGTTTATCTATGCTTTCAAAAAGTGATATAAATAGTTCTATATTTTTCTTAAAAAAATAAATTTTCTTTTTGTTCATTCACGCTATGATTTTAGTGGATCTTATCAAGCATCATTTGACTTCATATTTTCGAATTTAAATCAGAGTTGGAACCGGACAGTTTTTTTTTTATACAGTCCGGTCCAGCCAGCAACTGGCTGGATGAATTCTACAGCCAAACTGGCAAAAATCTGGCGAAAATAACCGCCCATGAAAGTATCTGTTCGCATAAAGTGGTGACGAAGGAGAATTGAATATGTACATGTAGAAATCGGAACTAGAGGTGATCAATTTACATTTATGAAAGTTTAATAAATCCAAGAATAAATTTTGTAAGTTTAAATTTATTTAAGTCCAGTTTAAATCAATATAAATTCATTTAATTGGTTTTCAAACCATTCACATTAATTCATATGAGATTTAAATCTTTAAATAAATTTAACTTTTTAAAATTTATATTTGCAAAAATTTAAATTTAAAATAGATTAACAGAATATCGTCACTCCTAATCCGAACTGAAAACTAAAACTTGGTAATGAAACTCTCACCATCATATTTTATAGCAAGGTGCGTCAATCTTTCGAGGCTGATATCGATATAAATTAGCTATTGAGATCAAATCTGTTTTTTTTTCATTTTAGTTTCAAAAAAGGAAAAAAAACCAAGTTTATAACAAAGCTAACACAAAATTGTAAATATTTATTTTTCTTAATTCAGGCAGCTGCCTAAGTAGAACAAGAAAATAAATTATTTGATCTAGGTTAAATTGAGTGGATACACGAGAAAGAAATCGATAGAGCTATAAAGAGAATGATCAATCATTTATAGTCCAGTTGAAGACAAGATATCTATTGAGTCTTTCGCAAACACATTCTTCTGGCTTGAAAATTTCATAAAAACACCGTTTTCAGTAGGGAAAATTCTTGGGTGTAAACAATAATTTTGTAATGATGAACTGGTAAAACTCCGATCCTGTCCGGTTCGGTTCCAACTCTGGTATAAATATATAGATTATATAGTTTGAAATTATTTTTTACATTCTCGTCATAATTTACGGTAATTTGTTTTTTCCTTCTACATTATCGAAAGTAATCTGTATGAGTAATCTATATATTATTAATATGATGATTCATTGTGTACTTATCCAAGTCATGCATTGAAGCAATGAGACACCATGTTATATAATGACAGAATAGGTAGACTATATAAACACCAGACAGTAAAGGTGTTTGATAGTGTACAGAAGAAAAAAAACGAATAAAATATTTTTACGCTTGTTTTGATCGATAATACTAAATGTAAATATTAATTTCACATTTATTTCCAAGGTTAAAAATCTTTTTATTTTTAGGGATAAAATATTAGCTAAATTAGTTGATCGTTTACCATCACAAGATCATAAAAATGATAAAAAAGTTGTTCGTAAAGCTCGACATCGATATGAACGTCCATCAAAACTTCATGCTGATATAGCACAAAAACGTGCTCGAGTACATGAACATCGTATGTTTCATGTCTACTTTTCATTTAATAAAAATATTATTCGTTTTTTTTTTGGTTTAAAGATCATTTCGAATCACTAAAAATAATGTATTCAAAATTTGTTTCTGATGTGTTACAATTACATAATTATTATCGTGCACGTCATTCAGCATCACCATTAACAATTAGTCAACGATTAAATTATATAGCACAAAAATATGCTGAACATTTAGCAGCAACATCAAAATTTGAACATAGTGGAAATAGATTCGGAAATGAATCTTTGGGAGAAAATCTTTATATGCAATGGATTTCTCATGGTAAAGTTCCAGTTAGTGCAAAAGAAGCAACAAAACATTGGTATGATGAAATTGAATTATATGATTTTAAACGTCCATATTATTCTGAAGATACAGGACATTTTACACAAATGATATGGAAATCAACAGAAAGAATGGGTGTTGGATTTGCTCTATCAGCTGATGAACGAGAAGTTTATATAGTTGCAAATTATTATCCAGCAGGAAATATTATAAATCCTGGTTATTTTGAAAAAAATGTTTTACCAGCGAAACATTAATTTTTTTAATAGAATATTTTTTTGTTTGTTTGTTTGTTTTAAATAAAAATTTATTAGTAAAACTCATAAAAAAAACAAAGCAGCCTATATTTCATAAATTTCGAAATACTGGTTTCGAATAGTTTTGAAACCAAAAATAAACATTATCACTAGACTCACCGTGGTAAATTACTCTCTGTCTACAGAAATTTCTAGATGATTGCAGATCAAGTCGCTGAAATCATGGATCTCAGAAAAATCTTTCTAAATCATGAACGAAGTGAAATAGAGATATCAGCTTTGCGTAGGTCGTAGGAGCACGACTTTTTTCTACCAAACAGTCATGTCAAAACCAAAAAATGAATGAAGAATGCATTTGGAATATTCATTGCTGGATCTTATATGAGTGTTTCATTTAGCTAATAAGTCAAAACTGAACATTTATTCAGTTCGGTAGTATTCCTGCTCCACACACACGAGGCCGAGTGCACTTTCGACTGAGTATTACTGAAGTAAAACAGTGTTCGACTGTATACTAAAATTAGCAGTGTAACTGGAAATAGTAGCCGATCTGACTCTTTGAAATTATTCAGCTGACATTTTATTCATGAAAGTTTTTTGTTAATAGATGATAATCTTCAAAGAGTTGAAGTACTCACAAACGTATTTTGTTCTTTCGGTTCCAAAAGTAATTCAGTTCGTGATCACTATGATGATAAAGTTTTTACTTTGTTCTAATAAATGACAACAGTGATAGCGAAGTTCTATTGTGTAGAAATCAACATTTAATAGTACCACTCTGAGTTCCATCCAGCAAATATGAACAATTCTTGACATGATACAAACTGAACCGAGTCATCAAAAGTTGGTCCAATTTCGATGCCTGATATTTAGTGATGAAGACAGTCATGAAAAATATTATTACAAATGTTCTATCAATTTTCGTGCAATAGTAACACATCTAAGAGGTTTAAGACTCTCAGATTCTATCAAAGTTCCTAAGCTTGCGAAGAATTCTCTAGATTTCTCAAGTATTCTTAAAAGAATGTCTGAAATTCGAAAAAATTTCTCTCTTGTTCCTTACGCGTTCACCTTCTCATTCATTTGTCAAATATTTATCGTACCATTCGAATATGTTCGACTTTTTCTCTGCTAGAGAGTAAGTTACAGACATTCGATGTGTGTTCAACACCGAATGCATACTCATTATACATATATGTTATCAATTAATACATTGGTTTCATAAAACAACAGATACATTACAGGAAATAAAGAAATAAGTTTTGCTTGTTGATACTCCAAATGTAGGAAGATACATGACTATCTTAGAAAAAAAAGTTGATCAATATCTGATCGAAACATTGTCCTATAATTCAACTTCAATCAATTCAGAAATTTCCACCGACATTTTCAGGTCTTTTTTCCATAAGAATCTCCAATCTCGTGTTTTCTATGAAATGGTGGGTGTGAGTGTAGATTTTCAGAGTGTTCTGCTATGCAAACACATCCTATGTAAAAATTATGAAGGTATAACGAAACTAAAAAGTTTTTCTGATTTAAAAATTTTTTTTAGTATGCATCTTATTATTATGCTAACAGATACATCGAAATCGGAACTAAGTACAACTCATAGAAGATAGCGACACTTTCAATGTATTGTACCTTCAACAGTTTCATAATGCAAGTCGTTTGTTTCGAATGTATAAAACCCTATTTTTTGTAAGATAATCTTTGAAAAAAATCTTAATTGAAATAATGTTTATATTTGTTGCAATTTGATTTAAACTTGTAGTGTAAATTCTATTACAATGTTCTAGCTTTGGTAGTATTTTAATAAATGAATTAGTCTAGCTCTCAAGATTAAACAATTATTTTTCAGTTACTCAACATCGTTGATTATCGATATTTGCTGCATTCTGATCAATCTATATTCATAAATAATTGATCTTTAAAAGATTCTAAAAAAGTCATACTATTTGAATGATTCTTTTATGTAGCGTTATCGAAATTCAATTTCTTCAAGGAATAAATATGACAAAATACAAAATGAACAGTAATAGTGAACTTGAAATAAATTTATCAAGTTGAAATTTTTATTTCAAAAAATATTGTTTATCTTAAATAATTATTTATTTTAAAAAGTAAATCTTAATGATGCAAAATAGACTTTGATTTGTATAAATTCTATTAAAAAGAATATTTTTAATGTTGGTAAAAATAATTTTTTTTTTTGCATTTATTATATTTAGAAACGTTGTATAGAACTGAAAGAGAAAAGAAAATTGTACTGAAAGACCTTTTCATTTAATCGTTTCTGTTTGTTTCTTCTCGTTCTTCTATTATTATCTTTTTCATTGGTTTATAAAGCGTTACATAAGCAGTACAATATACCCGACATTTCTCTCTTGTGAAAGAAATAACCTTGTCCTCATTGATCTCCATATATATATACGTATATATACATTCAACTTGTATTCAGTTTATCATTAACGTATCATAAAAGCGTTTTTAACATGTCGTCATCCGATTCAACTCAAACTAAAGATCAAGTATGTTAAATCATTCTTATTTTATTATACTAATAGATGATCGACAAATTTTTAAACAAAATCTTTGTTCACTTTTAACATATTTCTAACGAGTCAAAAAGCTATGAATTTGTGCTCTTTTCGAATGTGAACTTACAAAATTTTCTCTTTGAAAGTGTTTCAGCATAGATCACAAACAGAATTTGAATATTTACCTAGAAATATTATGTCTATGTGTACTTGAGAGTAGTGAGAAATTTTTTGAAAGATCTGAAAATAATGAGCCAACAAGTTTTTGTTAGTACTATACGTTCCTTTTCGAATATACTAAAAATTGTCACAGTTTGTCATTTTGTAAAGCGGACATTCATCTATAACATATGATATTGAACTAAGTTGTAGCTTTTATCCAAGTGACGTTATAAGCATATATATATATATATATATAGAAATAAAGATGGTAAATTTTAGTTTCAAATCGCAATAATGAAAATATTTCTATCCAAACTAATTTTTTGGACTTTTCTAAGATTATTGCACTACTCTTGAATAAAATTTCTAAGTTTACATTCGAAAAGAGTACAAAATTCTGATCTTCACTCATAGCTTTTTTTGGATTCATCAGATTATTATGTTTTATAATTAGGAACATGTCTTAAATTTAATAAAAGACATACAATTTGCAATGTTGACAACAACATATGAAGATGGTAGTCTTCGATCACGTCCAATGGCATATAAACATTGTGATAGTGATTCAAAAAATGAATTATGGTTAGTTAAATAGAATTTATCAAAGAATATTAAAAACTAAACTTTGTTTATAATTTTTTTTTAAAGGTTTTTTACACGACAAGATTCACCAAAAGTATCTGAAATAAAAAATCATTCACAAGTTAATGTATCATTTAGTAATCCAAATAATGTAGCATTTGTCAGTATAAGGGGTCGTGCTGAAGTTGTTCAAGATAAAGCTAAAGCTAAAGAATTATGGAATCCATATTTAAAAGCTTGGTAAATTAAAAATATTATATTAGAAAATTTATTATCTTTTTTTTTTTATTATAGGTTTCCAAAGGAACTTGATGATCCTAATTTAGGTTTACTAAAAGTAACTATAGAAGGAGCTGAATATTGGGATGCAGCATCATCAATGATAACTCGTGCTGTTGGTTATGTGAAAGCTGCACTTGGTAATGCATCAACACTTGAAGGCGATAATAAAAAAGTCAATTTTTCATAAAGATTATTATGACTAATAATTCACCATAGTTGTATTTCATATTCTAGCACAGAAAAAGATTTATTTCTAACAATAAAAGATTTGTTCTTATTAGTTACATATATGTTTTATTTATAAAAGTTTGAAATATGTGAATATTTTTATCGAAGAATATGTTTGTCAATGAGTAAATGATGGAATATATTTTATTAGAAAATAATCTTCATTATGTGAAGATATGTGTGAATGAAGACTTATAGAGAATTTTAAAAAACCATTTGTCCGCATAGCCAACCGTTTATATCTGCGACACGGCGTAGAAACGTGTAACGCTCCCCGAAGAACAACGATCCATGCTCTCCTATGTCTACATAGTGAAGTCTACCCTTATGTTATGTTTTGAGAGTAGGATGATACAATCGAACAAAAGCCATGTTAGGTCCCAGCATGCTTTTCACTTTATTGTATTCCAGAGATGGCAACTCGATCACTACTAAGACAGTAAATACAGGTAATGTTTCTAATAAGAAAAGTAAGCCAAAAATGTTCCTAATTAGAATAGCCTATGTACAATACACAGAAATCAATTAGTTTTGATAAGTGAACTTTTCTCCTATTGGAACTTGAAAATTTCTCTGTACTTCCATGACAAAATAATGTTCCTTGAAGAATAGTTCATTAACTTCCAGTAGTCTAAGACAACCAGAATTTTTCTTTTTTAACAATGACATCAATTCAAAATTATGATATTATTATTACGTGATAATTCAATCATCGGTTCCTATCGATCAAAAATATAAACACTTGTGCTGTAGTTACATCCTGTTTGTTTTTTATTTTTACAATCATGCTCGTTTTTGTGATAAAAATAATTTTCGAAAAATTTTAATAAAATATTGCGAACAATCGTATGTTCGAAACGAGATTGATGAAAGACAATCATTACAAGTAAGAATTAAACAAAACTGAATTCGATTGAGTTAAGGATTATAGAGTTGAACAAGTTATTATTGCTGTTCGATATATTTTGATTTATTTAGTTTAACATATTCGAGGCGATTCTGTTTTCGTACAAGAATCAATCGAGATACTCGTTCTCACGAAGACTAAACTTCTAATAAATCGTGTTGAATCCAGAAAAGCAATTGTTCAGAGAAAACTCAAGAGAGGTGAGATTATGGACTCCACAACAGCGATGGTGTCAAGTTGATCGAGTGCAAAGATAAAAGAGAGGTTCTGATGATGTCTACCAAGCCATCCCTTACAAAAGC